TGCACACCGTCATTGGGTACCAGACCTGCCAGCCGAAAAGCACAGGACTTGGACGCATAGCAATGACAAGCACCCCACCTGCACAAGGAGAGTCTCCAAAAAGTTGGTCAACCAAAAGCACTCAGGATCCGTGTTGATCACGGTGACGAGCACAGTCTTGTTCGGCATCACCTAAGCCACGTTTCAAACTATATCTCAATGCGTACGGGGGAGGTTGGGGCTCGCCCTCTTGTATGGCTGAAATTCAGCTGGCATATTCTGCCCCAACCTGAAAGCCCTTCCAAAGCCACGCAAAGCGCACAAAGCCGAGCTGCAGTGCCCTCTGGAAGCGCCTGGTGACGGTGCTGGGCTTAGGGTAGGTTAGGTGTTTAGGGTGGACTTAGAGTAGGCTGAAGGGGGGGGCACAAAAAGAAGAGGGGGTCAAAGAAAGGCGGGGGGTTGGAGCAGGGAGACAACCGACCAAGCAAACAACCAACCAGCCAAACCAGCCCGGCCAGTCAGCCAGCCAGCCAACCCACCAAAGAAACAAACCAGTAACCCACCAACCCACCAACCAACCAACCAACCAACCAACCAAGCAAGCAATCAACCCAGACTTGCCAGGGTACTGGCCCCGTGCCAGGGCTAGGCAGAAAACACACTCTTTCCCTTGTGTTCACAGTAGACACAAAGTGCCGCTCACCCGAGTCCAGCCTTGATCTTCACTGGCAATCGTCCTCCATGTTTCTCCAAAATGTATTCCCAGCCCTCGCGGAAGAAAAGGTCCTGAGCCAGAGCCCATGGCCAGCTCAAACCACAGAGAAGCACAATAGACTTGGAGCAGCCAGCCGCGCTTGAAGGCAAAGCCACGGGCATTGCGGCCCTTCTACTATCTCTGAACTTGGGATTCTCACCTGCAATTCTCTTGTCTGCACCTTGTACAGCTGTCACAGCAAAGTTGCGAGGTCCATTCATGATTGACATGTTTGGAGCGTAAATATTAGGATTTGGAGGACCCTCAACAAGCCCGATAAATATGCCTCACGCATGTTCTTACTACCATGTCGTGACTGCACTAAGCTCGCCGGCGGGGTTGTCACTGACTCCATCTCCAAAATGCTGCGCATACACTTTGGCTGCTTGGTCGATCTTCTCGCGAGTGACCTTGCCAGGATATGGGTTGTCTTCTTCGAGGGTGCCCTTTTCTGGAGTTCTAAATAAAGGTCTCCCAATTTTGAGACAAGCTGCTTGTTGCTGGGGTTTTGCCGTTTCGTGGTGCAACTGTTGGGTGAAATTGTTGCAAGGTCGCACCTGTCCGCACCAGCAACTGTGCGCCTGTTTTTTGGCATACTCTGCCAGGCATCACAAACACGATCCTCTCGATGTTTGAAAAAACACTGGCACAAGGGCGATGTCAATCCATAAAGAAACGAGAAACGGTCACTCAGAGTTTGGCAAACACTGCCCTTTAGAGGCTCAAGTCAACGGCTGTGGACTCGGGTCCTGGCAACCACGCCAGCCAGGTAGCGTTTCAGGAAGTACTGCAGGCCTTGAGAGCAAACGGTGCCTTTGGACGTGGCACTTTTGTCTAGGTCAAATTCTGGTACAGGTCACGCAACGCTCAGCAATTGTCCAATCCCAAGGGCATCCCAGGAGGCCTTCACCGTAGAATTGCTCTTTTTGGGCTCCGCTGAATCTCGGCAAATCTCGGGAATAATCGTTTGCGGAAAACCAGACCGCAGGAACCTCTAGGATCCAATACCCCGGGCGACCTTCATGGGATAACGTGGTTGTTCAACTTGAGAAAGTAGAAACCTCCCACGGACGACTCCAAACCTGGGGCGGCAGCCGAAGAAGCACACCTCATCCCAGCCGTCTCGATCACTGCCGCGGCTCTCGAAGTAACTGTACACCTCGCAGCATCAAAGCAGCTTACGCATGGCCACCCGTGCTTGTCGGACCGCTCGACATGTGCTGAACACGTGAGTGAGTCAAAAGGCTTAAAACATGTTAGCTTCCATTTTTCAACAACAAACATCAAGAGACCTGGATCTGAGGCATGAGTCAAACTGGCACAGTGAGTGGTGCAACTGCTTTCCAACAGTGGGCTGTAGTGTTTCTTGTTGGGGCAACTCTTGCCCCACGGCGGCTCCTTTCTGTTCACCGCGACGTTGAAAATGAAGTTGTCACACTAGACTGCTGACAATGAACATGCCAATTGCTCACGGAAATGGCCCCGACCGTGCCGGCCGAGTTCCAGGCATACTGGGTCCCTGGAGGATACTGCCGCCAATGGCTCACCTCAAGGCCGCAGAGGCTCGGAGAGTTGGGTGGGAAGCTGTGCCTTGTAGCTGTCGGAGAGAAGGATGATGTTATCCATCCTGGGCAAGGCCACGCTAGCGTTGAACAAAACGTAGTGCCACGTGCAAAGTCAAAGAAGAAAACTCGGGCAGCTGCCACGCGGACGTCATGGCGCTGAGACGGTCAACTCAGCTTTTGAGCCAAAGCCTGTGCCCGTTCTCGGCACAGGGCAAAGCAATCAATACGCAACGAGACGGATGGCTCGCGGGCTGCTGTCATGGAAATACAAGAGCAATCTGCCACCTGCCCAGTCTCATCCATTCTACAATGCTTGTTTTTGTGGTGATCCCACGCGCAGCAAGGGAAAAATACGTTGGAATTTATTGCTAGTTCTCCATGAGCAAAGCCCATTCAACCCCCGAAAAGGTTTCATGTCACACGGCACACAAAGCATAACAAAGCATAACAAAGCCCACCCCCCTCCCACCCATCCACCCAACCTCGAAAAACAACAAAACTGAGAAGCCTCCTTTTCTAAAGAATTGGCTTCCTCGACACAAGCTAAAAAGGGTCAAACAAACCCGCGAGGGTCGTCATGAGCCGAGACATGCTCTCTGCCATGCCATGTTCGCCGCCTTCGCAAAGCCTGCTGCTGCGCAGCCTTCATGGGTGCCATGATCAAACTCATTGTAAAAGGGCGATCGCATTGGATCTCTTCAATGTAACAATTCCTGCCAGCTTCTCTGAACTCAAGCAACCCAGCATGTTGACCATGGCATATTCCGGGGGGAAGCCTTCGGCTGCCCTTCCATCCTCTGACTGGCATACAAGGCACCTGCCCTGATGCCTCAGCATCTCATGCCTGAAAACATGCGGGGGTTGACCTCTGCGCCATTCAAATCATGGATCAGTCAGCATACGCGAATCCCACAGGATCTCCCAAGTTCCCAACCGGCACATCTCGATGGGTCACTTCATGGGCATGCAGATCAACCCCCCGAAAAATCCTGCTGGCCTCCAGCCACCCCGCGCTTCAGGGTTGCAGAGGAGTGAAACCTTTGCCAAAGCTAACCGCAATTGTCCAGTGCTTAATCAAAGGTCGTGAACGGGCCTCGGAAGCGATGGCCGAGCTCTTCAACCTCTTAATACCAAAGATGCGCCCAGCATGGTGAGCATACCCTAAGTGGCACACCGCCAGTATCGCCTGGCAGTGTCGCTTTAGAATGAGTTCGGAACTGTGAATTTGTGCAGTCTGGGCAACATTACAACGGAGCACGTGCATCACTCCTTTCCCTCTAAGAACCTCCAAGGCACTAACAAGTAGCAAACGATTCCTTACCACTTTTTGTATAATTAGCTAACAAACTTATTTTGCATGTAGGTCACAGGATCGAACCAAGGCTTGAACCAAGGCTGACAGACTGAACATCGAGGGGGGACAGCCGCACTGCTAACACCCTTGCTACTTCGCGTCTTGAAAATTGTTGTTTTCCAGTTTTTTCAGGTTTTTGCGGCCAGTCACTAGCTCCACCTCGCTGGTGCTTCCGGGGGGGCGGGGTCGGGGGAGAGGGGGTAATTTTGTGCTGCTCGCATGAACAGCGGACCAAGGCAACTTCCCTACGGCCACAGAAGCGCCTCGAGCGATGCTCGGACTTGTGAGCAGATTTTGTTGTGCTTAGCGAATACCCCAAATCGTTTTTCCCTTCGTGCAGCAAACGCTGCGATACACTGGAAGCCCTAAATATTGCAAGTGCCACCAAAGAACATGTTGACACCATTTCTGTGGCATCGCTCTCTACGTGCGGACCCCTCTCCCCCAGTTACAATGTTGAAGCCAAGCGCGCAACCCGTCTTCCGAGGCCCAATATATTGCAAGTTCAACATTGTATCAGGGGAGGGCGGTGCCACAGATATCATGTCGCAGTTATTATGTCGAGTGCTTCTTTTAGTGTGACCGTGCCCTCTGTTGTTCTGCTCCGCACTTGCAATATTTAGGGCTTCAACCGTAGTTATACCCACACGCACTCACCATCCGAGGTCAGCATCATCGCCATGCAGCGTGCGGTCTTCGGCTCCATGATGATCCGCGCTGGAGCTTCGGCATGCGTCGCAGGAATTTGCTGGGCAGGCTAGACGCTTCTGCTCAAAATGAGCACGTGAATCCGCCAGCAGCCTTGAAACCGGGCGTTGAATCAATTGTCAGAGCGTTTGCCAATTGCAGAAGACGGCATTAGGATACCATTCCTCCAACTGAGTTGTACTCTAACTTGCACTGGATGGATGTCGCGTGACAAAAGCGTCCCCCCCCCCGATGACCCAACATGTTGTGCCACCCTTAGCGGGGATCTCACAAAGGAACCCCATAATTTCCACACCTGCGGGTTCATGTTTATTCACATGACAGGTTGGGTTTAAAAATGCTACCAAAAACTCGAAAAGGTCATATTGAACAGGGTTTACCAAGAGTTGAAGATACTTCAGAGGCTCAAATTCCAACATCGCAAGCAACTTTAACAGCCCATTCTGGAATTGTTCAAACAATTAAGTTTGAACGTAACAATGGATTGCATAAAAGGTGTTGAATCAAACAGGATACTATCCAAAATGAGACATATTGGGTGCCCTTGTAGTGGACATCGTTTGCATAGTTGGATTTATGCATTTCCGGACAATTACCCTCAAAAAAGGAACCATTTTGACCTTTCCCCGGAGCGAACCAGCCTGGACCAGGTGATAAAGGCTGCCTCGAAGTCTTCCGCCGTGCTCCGACTGAGTACCTGTTAGTCAGCAAGTTACGAATGCTGGCGGAAGTGTGTTGACAATGCCTCCTGGGCTTGTGCAAGCAAGCCTCCTTGGGCAAACGGGCCCAAACAGGTTTGCCTCCGAATTGTCGTTTCCCAGTCAAGCTTTGCTTTTGCTTCAGCATCGCTGCTCAAGGTTGACTGGGACCAAAGGACAAGTTCTTCGTTGAAGGACCCCATGAAAGATCCTAAAAAAGAGGACGTCCTGAGGCGCAGACTTTGGCCCCTCTCCCACAGTGCTGGCTGCCTCATACCTCAGTCGAAGCTAAGGTTTTAAGGTGCCTTCCCGAAAAATGGTGTCCCTCTGAAATCCCTCTGAAATTCAAACATTGAGTCCGAAAAATACATGTACCCTTAAAAAGACATGTGAGCCATCTTCAGCCAGGGCGTGAAGCCACTATGGCCTCCTCTGGTTTCCTACTGACCGAACCACATCTCAGGCCAGCGCGAGCCAGGGCCAGGCAGTTTGGACAACTGCCAAGCAACATGCAATGACATGCTTCTCTTGCAGACATGAGAATGTTGCACCTGCCAAAACAAACACCGGTCTTGCTCCGGTAATCACTACTCACATCTTTCTTAGTTCAAAGGACTCCGGGACTTGGGCCCGGACCCAGGCTGCCGCACTGCTCTTGCCTACGCCGCAGGTCGACTGGGTGCAGCATGGTGCAAGCATCTGGCAATGATCCTCCTATTCAGGAATCATTGTTGCCACGGTCTTTGCCTTACCCAAGGACATTGATCAAGTGTGGGAGTTTTAGAGAGTCGAAAACTACTGGCCTTCTTCATGTGAGGGGGCCTAGAGAAGCTACCCGACTTCGTGAGGTGGGGGACCTTTGATTCCTGAGAGAACCAACCCCTGCCGGCCTTTGATGCCAGGCACGGGTCGGTCGTCCGGTTGCATGGGCCCTGCAGGGTGAGGCAGAGCAACCTCCAAGACCCAACACCTCCCTGTAAAGAAGCTAAGACAAACGCGTGCCTCTCTCCCTGTCCCCACTTGAATCGCCTCACTGCTTGGACGAACCCCTCGAAAGTATAACTAAAGCTCTTTGATCCCAATCACTGTCCTAAAACCATGAGAATGCTGGAGCAGAAAGGAAGCACAGATCTCTGAAATATTGCCGTGATGGAAAAGCTCAGTTCAGTCTTCCTCTTTTCGAATGGGTTGGCAAGCCTCCAATCCATCCAAATTGCTTCTTTTCTTTTATCGACGACAGCTGTTTGTGGTGAGCTTCGCCGCAAAATTCGTTGGCCCGGCAATTATTGTAAGGGCCTTCAAGCAACTAAGTCCTGCCCTTCGGAACAAAGCACAACACGAGCACCTGAAATGCAACATCGCCAGCCTCAACCCGCTCACTTTCGGCCTACTAAAACTCCGAGACTAATTCTCTTCGTTCACTTCTGGCCCCCTGCCTGTGCGCTTCGAGGTACCAAAGCCCCAACCTGGCCAGGCCCCGGAGGCACCAGAAGCGGAACTCACAAGTTGCCAAAAGTGGTCGCGGTGGTTACGGATCCCCAGGTGCAGCAATACTACACAACAACAACAACAACAACAACAACAACAACAACAACAACAACAACAACAACAACAACAACAACAGCAACAGCAACAGCAACAGCAACACAACAGCAACAGCAACAACAACAACAACAACAACAACAACAACGACCACGACCACGACGACGACGACGACGACGACGACGACGACGACGACGACGACGACGACGACGACGACCACGACAACGACAACGACAACGACAACAGCAACGACGACGACGACAACGACGACGACAACGACGACGACAACAACAACGACAACGACAACGACAACGACAACAACAACAACAACAATGACGACGACGACGACAACGACAACGACGACGACGACGACGACAACGACACTTAGACAATCCAACGTCGCGCGTTGGACACCTTTTTGCGCAAACGGCATCTGACGATGCCAAACGCAGCCAGGCCTACAAATCGCGGCTGTTCTCGCCAAATCGCGGCCGAAGTCTCGCCAAATCGCGGCTGAGCAGGGGGCATCAGACGGCGTCGTTTGTAGAAACGATGTCCAACGGACATCATTGGACGACAACTGCAACGACAACGACAACGACAACGAGACGACAACGACAACGACAACAACCCCAACAACAACGACAACAACAACAACAGCAACAACGACGACGACGACGACGACGACAACGACAACGACAACGAGGCGACAACGACAACGACAACAACCCCAACAACAACAACAACAGCAGCAGCAGCAGCAGTAGCAGCAGCAGCAACAACAACAACACCAACAACAGCGACAACACCGACAACACCAACAACAGCACCAACAACACCAACGACACCACCACCACCACCGCCACCACCACCAGCAAAAAGAACAACAAGAACAACAAG